TACGTAATTTAAAATTAAAGATTTAATGATTAAACTTTATAGAAATTACCTGGAATGATCAAAACAATACACGAATTCACATTTCATTTGAAATTCATAAACAATATGGCAACGATTATTTCAGTAATAGATAAATAGCGGGAATAAAAATTCGAAAATAGTATCAGAGCTTTTGTAAGCAAATCGTTGTAAACGTAAAATTGATATTGTGAAGGTTTCTGTCTGACGCGCGCCGCTCACGCCGCAAGCCTGGGAGTTTTATTTTGGTCTACGTCAATCGTCGCACATTGTTGATGAAATTGCACTTCTTCCTGTTTTCTGGCAGAATGATCTTGACAGTGGCATTCTTACTCATTATGTTTCGCAACGTGAATGCGGTAATACGTTACGAAAGTCGTTCCGGTAAACTATACGTGTTTCTAGCTAACGCAAAATCTAAAATCGGTTTGTTGCAATTAATTAAGTTTTAGCAATCCAACCGCTATTTTGGGGTGCAGCCAAGATTTTGTGTTTATGGGACATTATGAGCTCGTTTTTGGTAACACGAAATCGTTCTCGAATTTTATATCGTCCGGGTGTTGGCAGCGCGCGCCTGTGAAGCGAACACTACAATATATTGTTAGCTTACCGATCTTATTTTTATATCCAATGTCGCCTCAGTGATATGATAGCTGTGATACTAAAGTGATTAAAATGATAGTGAATGATTGTAATGTGTGCGCATACGGTTGTGCAGGAACATTCTGGTAGTGCAGAGCGAGCACGAGCGGCAGGAGTCGTGGGAGGCGATCGGCGCCCGGCTCATACGTCGGCTGTCGATGCGGCCCACCGCCGAGGAACTCGTCGAGAGGAATATACTCAAAAGTTAGTAATTCACTATTCTATCGATGACATAAGAATACAAACTTGAAGTGAACATTGCGCGCTAATTTCTATTTATAATCAAAGGTCAGTCTCCCGCCGAGGAAAAGAAGCAGAAGGAGGAGAAGAAACGCTACTTGTTGCGCAAGCTCAGCTTCCGGCCCACCGTAGACGAGCTCAAGGAAAAGAAGATTATCAGGTTCAGTGACTACATTGAGGTGACGCAGGTACGTCAGTGCAAAGCTTGACAAATAATGCAAATTGATTAGTCTTTTCGTGTTAATAAGTCAGCGGCAAAAAATATAAATAAATGATACGATGTACGTTGCAGGCACACGACTACGACCGGCGCGCCGACAAGCCGTGGACGCGGCTCACTCCGCGCGACAAGGCCGCCATCCGCCGCGAGCTCAACGAGTTCAAGAGCTCCGAGATGGCTGTGCACGAGGACAGCAAGCACCTCACCAGGTACCCTCCCCCCCACACATACACACACACATCTATTATTGTTGTCCATGTAAACAATTTTACGTGACCATATCAATATTTGTAATTTCAGATTCCATAGACCATGACGGCTGTGCCTTAAACTCGGACTGGACCGCGGCGACAGGCCTCGTGGCTGAGCGTGGCGACAGTTGCCATTGCTCGTGCTGCCACTGTTGCCACCTCCTGTGGCGGATGGCGTCGCGACTCGCAGCGCCTTCTCTTCGCCGCGGTCGTGGTCGCTCCTGTGATTTTTATCGTATTCATATTGACTTCTTCCGACATCCGGAAGATTCGTTTGCAATAACTTACCACAAGGCATCGGTAAAGTGTTGAATATTCTAAACTTAGGTTATATCGCCGTTTCGAAGTTACATTTTGTTGTAAGCGTGTACCGTGAGTGCAATTTTGTTTTAATTTACCTTTTTATTATATTGTAGTTTAATCGAGTACAATTTATTACGATTACATTAAAGTTTATAAGTCGGCGTATCCTAAGCGTACCTATACATTCTTTGAATTGACCTTCGCGTAAGGTTAGTGATACTGGTTATTGTGGTCGAGATTGTGAGTTTGTAAAGCTCCTGAGATGTGTCGAGTGAGTTAAATGAAAGTATGACACGTTATCCGCAGTAGGATTACGTAGACTTGTGATTTTCTCTTATATTGCTAGCTGTAGACGCGTAGTTTTTAAGCTAGACTCGATTGTGTGGTATTTTATTTAACATTACATTTTTGTCGCAATTGTTACATTGGCCTTATAGAAAACTTGTCTCTCCTATTTCCAGTGAAGGTGAAATACATTTTTTTTTCATCAAGTACATCTGTTGTAGCTAAGGAGTTAAATATATTTTGTATGGTAACGCTTGTTTGGAGATACTACCACAGATTTTCACTAATCTTTTCTAGGTTATTGTTGGATAGTAGTGTGCTGCGTACTGCGTACTGCGAACTGCGAACAACTCACTAATCACCATGTCATTATCAACACATTGAGCTTTTTGACTAAATTTTTCTTCCATGAAATGTACTTCATTTATAAATAGGTGTTATATTTGAGATATACGAAATTTTAATCTAATAAAAATTAAATATCTTAATCATAAAATTACGAATACAAATATATATGTTACCAAAAGCAATGACATAAATATACAAGCAAATAACACTTAGTAACGTAGCAAAATTTTATGCTACGTTATTATAAATTAGCAAACAGTCGGTAGTAGTTTTCTGATAGTTTTTGATTTATTTTTCCTAGAAAGTTCGCGACCTCAAATGTAGCACTTATAGCAATAATTCATATACCAATATAGAATACGAGCTTTTTTATATTTAAAATTGTTATTGTGTTACCTCAAATACGTATGTGTCTGTTTGCATCATTTACATATAGATAATATATTTTTATATGCGGACAAAATCACAATACTATTTATTGTAATGGAACTTGTTAGTTATCCATTGTATTCTTTATAGAACAGGAAAGGACAATGTGCTGTAAGCATGAGCAATACATCAGGTCTACACGTTTATAAGTACAGAAAGATGTCAAAAAAACAGTATATGCATTCTTGTAATAATTGGAATCTATCAATTAAATCTCCAGCTTGAAATTCATTTAATTTCAAGGTCAATAAACACGAATAAGGGGTGTTTCGTTTAAAGAAATATCAATAAATCCATCTTCGCAGTTTTTTGTCGCTTAATTTATAGTGATCTTTGAATTAAGATTTAGAATATATGTTTACTTATTCCTAGCTACGAAACTACGTAACAAAATAATCGAACTAAGGGCTCGATCACCTCTGTAACCAATTATAATCTACAATTCCAGTTGTAACCCGTGAAGCAAATTATTATTGAAGAATATTTTAAGTGCTATGCGTTAATCCGCCTCAAACCCAGTGTTAACACCTCCTCAAAGTAAGCCATAGATATCGCCCTTATGATAAAGGTAGAGCAATACCTTAGAATAATGTGGTTTCAAAGCTGGAGATTCAATTGATGTGGTGTACGGTACAGTAGGCGGGTTCGGGGCGGGGCCTCCCTCCGCTCCGCCCAGCGCGCAGCCTCGGCGGGAACAACTTGTTAATCCTCTTGTCGATCTAGCTTAGGACTAGTTAAGTAATTCGAGTTGAACGAACTTTCTCGTTAAAGAATAATTAAATAATGGTTAAACTTCTGTAAAGATGTAGCGGTTTAATAATAAATTAATTAATTATTATACGCCTATGAGATTAATTTCAATAGACGTTATGTTGTATCGCAACAGACGCGGTCATATCGACGCACTAATTTAAACTTTTAGAGCAATAATAATCTGAAGTAAATTTCATATTGATAATGGATGATTGAAGTTTGCTCTGTTGCAAGCAAGCGTGTAGTTTTATTACAAGTGATTGTGTCGAGTGATTGGATTGATTGTGTTAATTATTTTCAACCAATAATTGTTTGCGATGAGGTGCCATTTTATCGTGTATCTATTCTTTTAATTATTATTTTTTTATTGCGAATTATAGATGTTTTAATATAACACGTATAGGTACCATTGGATGTAGAGTTTGTCGACTCGCATACGAATCCAATACAAAAGTGATGTTGTACGTGATGGTTATTCTTGAGACCATTCCATTATATAATAAAGTGGAAGCCAAAATAACGACTTATTTTTCTAAATGATTTTGTTAGATTTGCAATGTAAATGTAAAACATAGTTAAAGTAGAGGTTTATTGATATTATAATAAGACGATCAGATTTCCAAAGATCTAAGGCTCAACTAAATTCTTTTAGCTAGCTCACTTCGATCAGGTTCAAGGCTTATTTTAGATTTGCGGTATTTTCTCAGACTCCATTTTGTTTATGTATAGAATCAATGTTGGGACTACATTTGCATCACTCGGTTTATGTATATAACTATTTACCATACAAATGTGATAAGACTTTTTACGTTGTAATTTTTATATTGAATAAGTACATTACAGTTTTCAAAAGTAACAGATTAATTTCCGAATGCTAAATGGTGCTATCAATTAGCATTTCTTGCTTGGTAAGTGTTTGTTAAATTCCTTTTTAAAATATTTTAGTAAGGGAATGTTTGTCTAAATTTGACTTTTGCATCTTCCAATGTTGAAACGAAAAATGTAGTTGATTGATACGTGCTGTATTAAGCACTTTATATTTCTAGTTTGGAATAAAAATAATAGAAAATTGTTATTTAAAGTTTTTTAGTAAATATGTAAAAATCGTTAACACGGCATTTTATTACATTGAGATTAAGGCAGACGAAATTAAACTCAAAACTTTAAGCGCCCATTTATGTACTGTATATATATATTTTTATTATGTAAATTGTGGAATCTCTTTTTATTTCCATTTATATATTTTTGTGCTATTAGAAACTACAATTGCTATCTTCAGTAACATGTTTACTGTTGCTTTTTTATTCGTGTAAATTATTAATGACATGTTGTAATAAGAATATAATGATAGCCATACAATTTATTTGTTTTATATAACATAAGTTTGTAAATACCATGATTATACATTAAGTTTTATACTCTATTGTTTTTGTTTAACTCTTATTCTATACCTTCACTGAATTAGACAAAAGATTTACATTTATTTGTGGTGGAAGTAAACTGATCAAGAAATATGTCTGATTTTAAGTGACAATATATCCCTTAGCTAAAGCTACAGATGGTGGAAGTGGCTAAAGGTTAGATGGATGGATGGATGGATGGATGTTAGAAGATATCTCCAGAACGGCTGTATGGATCTCGCTGAAAATTGGCACAGATGTAGAACATAGTCTGGTAGGATGCATAGGCAACTTTTTTTTAAATACCGCGCTGACGAAGTCGCGGTTGACTTCTAGTTCCCAATATTAAGATAACCTTGAGTCAATATAAATGTTTACAACACATTTTGCATATTAATCCGGAGATGTTCTATGGCATTCACCTGGTAAATAAACAATTTAACTGCCCACTTCCATAATTATAATTTTAATTTGATAATATTTTATTGAAATTAGTAATTTTTAATCAAATTTCCACAAAAAAATAAACCGTCAATACAGCGCCATCTCTTGTCATATGTTAGACCTCTTCATTCGTAATGAATAATGGCGATTGGTGACTTATGTCTTTATATTCTTTGAAGAGGTCGCTAGTAGTCAGTATGAATAGTAATTATTAATTAGTTGTGAAACATTCAGAGCAAAGCTTGGTACAACTAGATTTATCATATTACAGTTCATAAATAATGATTATGTTTTGTTACTTTGCAGTACTGTTGTGGTGTATGATAACCTTATTTTGTATTTTGGAATCTAAGCAACTATTTTTCTAACCTTATACTAGGTATTTTATTATAGGCGTAGTTATCAAAATCAAATTATGAAGGTAGCAAAAATTTGATGTTTCTTATTAAAACTGGTGTTGAGGACTGCGAAAGTTTTTGGGCTGGAGTGATTCCAAGAACTTTTTCTAAACTTTCTGAAGGCAAATAACAATAAAATGCAGAAACCGGATCAATATTAATATAATTTTGATCCTTACTTTTGAAAAGAATTTAGATTTATCGTACTAATATAAATGCAAATGTTTGGATGGATGGATGTTAGTAGTTATCTCCGGAACTGCTGTTTGGCGTAGATGTGGAATATAGTCCGGAAGAACATAGGCTACTAATTTAGTTTTTATTTTAATTACGAGCGGACAGAGTCGCGGTCGACAGCTGGTGTTTAATAATTGATAAATTTATTTACGCGAAAGAGAATACAGTAAATTTATTTATTTTCCGTTTCCAAGTCTCTGCTTTGATTGCCACAGCGAGTTTAATTGCACTGCGACAAATTTGTTTACTCAAAAAAAAACTAAGCAGTTGCATTGAACTTTGATGAAAACACTGTTTTTTTTTGTTATTTCCGCACTAGCAGATAAATCTAAACAGAAGTTATCGGTTGAAGGTTAGATTCTAATAATAAAATTAAAGATTAATAAAAACTAGTCAAAATAACTAGACAGGACAAAATATTTCATATTGTATGCGATATCATAATACTTATCGTGATTACAAAGGTATTATAATCAAAAGCGTTATGGAATTGGAAGGACGAACATGCTATTGTACTTTTGACTCTGTGATATTACTACATTTAGGGAAGAGCTCACATATTAAAAATATGGCGAATAGTCAAGTTTTGTCGGTCATCGTATCGAGTAGTTGACTTGATACAAGGTTATGGAATAAACTCCAATCAAACAAATGATAAGTACCGAGTAATAATCATCATAAATACACAAAATGATTTTCCGAGATGTAACAGTAGAATGGGCTTTTTGCAATTTACTATTATTAACACTGTTCTATAGTTGATAGTTGTAGTTCCCTTGATTACAATCTTAGTAATGTAGTATTAATGAAGGCTTTGACCCGAAGCGCTTTGGATACTTTCGATGGTGCGCAACTTATGGCCGCGCGACTTGAGAGAAAGTTAACTGTAGTCTGTGCTCGTTAGCGCGTTCACTCAGAACTCAGAGCAGACCCGTGTAGCGCTCCCTACTGCATAGTGTTGGAGCCAGTCGGAGCTCACTCGCCGGCCAGCCAGCGAGCGCGCGTGACCTGTGCGTGCGGACCGCGGAGTGCACACCATGTTTACATGCCGCACGATTCGGCAACATCATAACAGAAAGCGATAGTGTACCAGTTCTACTAAACTTGTGAACGGTGGACAAGTGACGTACGTCAATGCACAACACATCAAAGCTTTTAGTGAAAAAGTGCAACTACCAAACGCAACTATGACGTTCTCTGCAAACATGGAAAGCAAACCGCGAAACACTAAAGAGAGCTGGGAGTCAGAGGTGAGACATATGATTATGTTCTAACAATCGCGAGTTACGATGCGTGTGATTCGCTTCAATTGAAAGATGCAATGAATAGAAAAATTATAGAATGAAACATTAATCTCATTGTCTTCCCGCTTTTTATCATCGTTCCACATCACTTTCTCCTAACACAATGCATCCTTGTCTTAAACTTGATTGTTATTGTTTTTCAATTAAGACATGCATATTTATAAGGAGCTTTTGTCTATCGCATCGCTTTCTTGCTATTTCAAATAGGTATATATTAAAACAATGAATGCAATTAAATAAAAGATTGTTGTCTATTTATGTCTAATGTACAGATTATTACTAATATATTAGCTCGTAAATTTAAAACTATCTTTGTTCCGTCATTTTCTTACGAAATGTTTATTTCAATATCTTACAATTCAAAGAAAACAACATGAGATATAGAAAGATACTTTTACAACATATTTTTCTAAGATTTTAGATATTCCCATACATAATAAATGTAAAATAACTCACCAGAAATGAAAAGGACAGTTGATTAGTTGCAATTGGAACATGCTAAATGTAGAAAGTTTTTTCATTTTCTTAAACATAAAAATAACGGAAGTAATTTCTATATTCACAAACATGTTGTATGAATAACAAACATTTAAAGACGACGACAACTTTCACTATGTTCACAACAAGGACATGAACAGTTAGTTGTGTTCGACGGCAGGTGAATTAAGCTCGCACTTGACCTCCAAAATTACGACATTATATGTCACAGTATACTTCGATAGTCTTTATGTTTAAATAGTATAGGATTTTTTATTTTACTTGTAAACATCAAGTCTGTATCCTGTATTTATCTACGTGTTAATACCAATGTTTAGAAACTTAGAACTGTACGTTACCTAAATACTTTTAAATATGTAGTTCCATTTTATCGTCGAATATTTAGCCCACGTGAGTACACTCTTTAATAAATAAATTTAATATTAAGCCTTAACTAATTCGATTACACACGCAAAAATATTTGATACGGAAATATTTATAATAAGAAAACCGAATATAATCCATCGGATTTATAACCTGTCAAATTAGTCACGTCATGATTGTTTTTAAATATTTAACACCGCATTTTAGTCGTTATATTTTGAAGACTTCTATTCGAGAACACACATTATTTTTAACGTAGTACCAAGAACCTATGCAAAACTGTTACTTGGCGGTTA